CAAACAAAAGAGTCAGACCTATGAGCCCCAGGGAATGCGAAAGTATGATGAAAGGTAGAGAGTGAAACATGTGAAATCATGGTCCTGAATAATAGTACACTTTGAAAAACAGCAAGTATGAGAATCACGGTTTTGCAACCGGCCTCAGCTATCGCATACATGTCAGGGCAGGTCATTTGAATAACCCAAGTACCGTGTGTTAGGCAGAGTGAATGCAGCCAGCAAGTAAGAAAAAAAACCAATTATCGAGATCATGGAGAGTTAAGATGACATCAGTTGAGTGAAAAGGAATGTCGAATTGAAATACTAAGTGGGAGCAAGAGCCCTATTTAGGTAAGGATAAAATTGGCGAGGCTTCGAGAGACCCAGCCTGAAGATTATCGAAAAAACGAGGGTATGGGTTGGGATAGAGAGGAGACTTGATCTGCTAAAAAGTCAGGGATGAAGATAAAGCAGTATAAGATAGGAAATAGGCATTTAAAGGGGATAAGATAAGTGCTACAAATTAGTGACTGATATTGGCGAAGAGGATTGACTTTGCTTGTCACTGTGACTCGGTGATGGTGTTGTTCAGTGTTGATTCTGACAGACTATCTAAAAATTTATTTAATCAACGGACTAATGCTGAAACAATAATGTTGATAATGTTAGATAACAGAATACGGAGTAATTAAGTCTATAGCAAAACAAAATGGCGTAAGTGTATTAGGAAATTATAATACTAAACTACCCAATTAAACAACTTACATGTATTGGCCAAGCCTTGACCTCGTCTTTGCCGCAAGTGAAAAAATACTTGAGATGAAGAGCAGAATAACCAAGCTTTATTATTTTGCCCAGTTGACCGGTCAGCTCAGGTGATTTGCTCACAAGTGTTTGCTTCTCTTCGGGAGTCATGGATAAAAGTCGCTCTTCGAATTCAGCAGAAAAAGGAACAATCGATGCACCGGGATCGTTGTGATCTATCCATTCTTTAATCTTTGGAAGCCTGAAATGAAAAAAATGAATCGATATAATGGTTAAAGAAAGAATTTAGTCAAGACGACGAAGTAAACAGTCACTCACCATTTATTTTTTTTCCGGATGTAATCCTTTTCTGATAGATTCACGAGATATATGATGGGTTTTGAGGTCAAAAACAGGTAAATATTCAAGATTTCAATCTAAAATTTTAATGAATATAATTATAATGTTTAAAAAATAACATAAAAATAGCAATGCTTAAAGGCATATTGTGTCAGTTATGATATGAAGAGATATTGAGAGTGCAAAAATAAAATGGTCAAAAGTTCTCATTTGTGTACTAGCAGATAGTAATCAAGAGAAAGATAATTGAATCTTATTTTTTGTATATAAGTAATGTAGTCGATTGTTATAGCAAAATTATGCGTGCTTCATTGACAATCCCACCAAAAAATGTGATATGGGAAAAGGCCTGGCCTTCCTTGAAATTCGCATCCACCCTGTGACCCAAGGGCACTCGTGACAGTGGCCGAGTGGTTAACGTGCCAAGCTCACATGCTGCACTGTCACGGTTCGACTCCCGCTGGGGGTGTTGATAAGACCTATGCGAGGTCGAAACTGCAGTCCACCCTGAATGAGAACTTTTAGGAAAGCGAGGCTCAGTGAAAGTAAATGGAAACGTAAACTCATAGCATTGTGGGAAAATTATACTACCAGTCCCTCATCACCTTAAGCGAAATAAGGTGAATACATCTCATATAATTGAATCTGTTCGTAAGACGGATGGTAAGACCTTATCAAGAATAGGAAAATCTTCTGATGATTGCATGCCTAGCACCACTCATATCGCAACGTAGGATTAAAAATGTCTTGATAAAAACTAGAAATTAAGATGCTAATAAAAATCGAATTAAGACCACTATCGAATATTCTTAAAGAACCATAATGAAATGAGAGGTAAACTGAGATGTCAAGCATGTAAAGAAATACTACGAAGTAGAAATCAGATTAATCTACATAGAATGAATGCATAAAATGAGGAAGCAAGTAAAGCTGTTAAAGCGATTAATCAGAGTACGGAAAGAGCCTATTACATGTGAATTTAGTGAAATATGGAAATGCTTTAGAGCCTGAATCTGGATGTGAAATGATATCTGAGCAAGCTGCTGGAGATTAATTAAAAATGTTTAATGTTATCTGACGGGCGAGAATCAAAATAAAAGAAGCCTGATAATCTATTACACAAAAAATAAAGTTAAAATAGCATTACCTCTGCTACAGACCAATTCTCGAATCGAATAGTTTTACCATCCAACAGAAAGTCCCGTGCCTTTGTAATGCAATCATAGCTGGGCCTCTGCTTCGTGTCTCCTCCTCGAATTACAATCTTGTCCAATTTTTCCCACTCTTTTTGAGCGAACTCACAGTCTTTCAGACGAAGTTCCTCGGCAATTATCTCAAGATCACGAATAGGATCAACATCGCCCTCGACATGGGTTACGTCCTCACAATCAAAAGCACCTAAAATAGCGAGTAAATAAACGAAATTAGAGTGTTAACTATATTTAGCTTAGGTCGCATAGGACAAGGGCTGATAATTAAATTTTTTTGTCAGTCAAGACCTGATTCTCAAGGCAGACTAGGCTTCTACCATAAAACAAGTAGTGGGGATACTGATAAGACAAACTGTCATCATAGTCGTTTACAATTTAAATCCGAGTCGAATAGGCTTCGATATTAGCAGATCTTTAATAAGAACAATATGATGAAAATGGAGTCAGATCACAATACATCACTGAGGAATCTTTCAAGGTCTAGTTTTTCTATAATATTGCCATTGTCTTGGCTACAATACTGAATCAAAACGCATCTCATAGATGGCTAGTAATATCCCAGAATAGCTATAGAAAAGTGTGGACGAGACGTAATTATTTGACCCATTTTCGAGCTTGGGAAAATTAAGAAAACAGGGTAACTAGTGCCTATTAGGCATGCTTCCGAAAGGCACTTCATATAAACTAAATATTCACCACTATGACTAAGCAAAATAGTGCTGAGATGGAGTTGTAGGAGGAATAAGCATAAATGAATATGGATGCGAAAATTGAGTGAATAAAATAGTCAAAAGGGATTAATAGTTGGTTGACCGGGTTTGGTCAAGAAACAGAATGCACAAGTTGCAGCTTGTTGCTGAGAGCGGTATGGCTCATTGATGATGCTGATTACGATGCCAGAGAAACGTCTGAAAATGTACCAAGTCCACGATCTGACAGAATAGCAGACTTCGAAAAAGGTACGCCAAACTGAGTCGCCCTGACAACAAAACCAAGCAGCGAAAACGAGATCAACCCTCCCCTATACATCAAAAGGACGCTGGGAACATACCGAGGGTTACACCATCTTGGTCTTCAGATCTCCGAAAAAGCTGTGTTGGTTTGACTTCGTTTTTGCAACTTTATCGGAGCATCAGGGAAAACTTGTGGAACGTACATAGTTCT